CCAGGGCTCTGCTCAGCCAATCAGCCACGTCTCCCCTGACGGGGGCTTCCAGTGGGGGTGGGCGAGCAGGCCGGCCTCATGTCCCTGACATACCTCATCCAAAGAGCCGAGGCGACGATGCCAGTAGAGGCTGTGGAAGCGGGATACATCATGGCAACCCATGTGCCCGGGCCCCCTGCTGTGCGTTGCTCCCTTATGGGTGTTTCCTGGGTGTGGTGACTGGCTGTCTCCGCCGCCTCGCTCCAGAGACAGGCGTCGGGCTGCCTGCCTCCTGCCGGGCAGCGTGTGGGACTCGGCTCTCCGGGGAGGGGGAACGCGAGAGGTGGGTTCCAAACCTTCCTGTATGTCCAGGAGCCAGGGAGAGTCTGAGGCAGGTTAAAATCACAGCGGAGCGAGACCTGGAGTGGAGGTTGCAGGGATGAGATGGGGCGAGCGAAGGCCATGGGAGCTGGAAGAGAGAAGGACAATGAAGGACAAGAAGAAGGCAGGTGCCAGCTATCTCTTGTACTTCTCCGGTCCCTGTTGCCATGGTACCGGGCACCTCCCCATTGTCCCGACGGGGAATTAAGGCGCCAGGAGACTGGGAGTGATGGGCCCAAGGGCTCAGAGGATGCGTGTGGTGAAGGGGTCCTACCCGTTGAACCGTGTGTCCTTTCCATGGTTGAGAGAGCAGCCCAGGGACTGGACGTGCCTGGGAACAGCAGCAGGACGCCGACGGCCTGGCACTGGGTAACTGCATGCCCAGGCCCTGTGTTGGAGCTGGCTGGGAAACGCAGGGATTTTTTTTTCCTGTGAAAATTTTTGACAAAAACAAAAATAATTCATTTTTGCCAACATTTTCCTGCCTTTTTTCACAGCTTTTGGTGACGGAGAGATGAAATCGTTTTAGTTTTCGACAGCGGCCGGATTTGAGGCAAGGCTGCTACCACTGCCCGCCTGAGGGGAGCTTCCATTACCCACATCTGCACAGCATCTGCACGGCTCTGACTGGTCTCCCCACGTTTGCAAAGGGCTGTTGTTGGGCTCTGTCTCTGGGACAGGCTGGTTTGGGACTCTCCAGAACTTTGTTCCACGTTCCCTCGCCGCAGCAGAAGTTTGGCTTCGTTGTGGGATGCCTTGATTTTCAACTGGCCGATTTTAGCAATCGGAGAGCGAGCCCCAGGCCATGTCTGGCTGCCGACTGACCTGTTGTGCTCTATGAAACGGGACTTTCTCCCTGTTTTCACTGGCCTCAGCATAGCTACTCGATGCCATTTCCCTCCCATTCTTCTTTCAAGAGACCTCCTTTGAGATTCTTGCTGTTCAAGAAGGAGAGTCCTGTAGAGCGGGAATCCTTAGCGAAGAGGAAATTACTTACCCTGGAATTCGGCTTCTCTGCAGATAAAAGGTGAAATCCTGGCCCCATTGAAATCAACAGCAAAATCCCCATTGCCTCGCCCGTGGACAGGGTTTCATCCATCATCTTGCAGGATTTCTGCCCGCCCACCATCCTGCCGCTGCTCAGAATCTGAAGAGTTCCTTTGTTGTGACTGTTTTTCCTTGGTGCCTGTCTCCAAGGTGTGCTTTTTTTGCTAATCTTGTGTTGATCGCCCTGAATTGGCTTTTGCCTGTGGGAGCTGTGCTTCCCCTGCACTTGAAGGAGCTTACTGATGTCAGGGATGTGTTGTTGCTCAACAGTTCTCAGTATCTGATCTTTCGTTTTTGCAATATTTGATATTTTTGTTAAAGCCCCAGCTTCTGGAGCCAGGTGATGATGTGAGGATCTAGGCTTTCATTTAAAAGAGAGGACGAGCCTAGCCACTGGTTATGGAGAAAAGCCTGAACACGGGGCACCTTAAAAGCTCAGATCCAGAAGGCAAAGAAAAAAATACCCCCAAATGGTTTTTTTTTAACTCTCAGGGTTTAAAGCCAAACTCATGCTTTTGAGGGCCCAGTGAATGTATGAGGTTGACAACATTGACATGTGCCTAAGGGGTTAATTAAGAACCAAGGATATAGGAAATAATTTCCCCTTTTTCCTTTCATGCAACTCACGCAGGATGCTGGAAATGTACACCGGTGTGGTCTCACCTGGGTGCCATCCTCTGGGGACCCCACGAGTAGGTCACATCTCAACACTCGGTCCGGGGTTAGGGACATCCACGGTCAGAGGAGGGTTTGTTTTGGTTTTTTGGTTTTAATCCTCATTTAAATATTTCACATGAACAGTTTTATAATCAAATGGCAGCAGGCAACAGTCCGTCCTTTCAGAGAGCTCACAGTCCTCTGGCATTCACATGATTTTCCTTTGGAAAATGCCACTGATATTAAAAACAGACAGTAGAGCGGGGAGGGCGTAGCTGAAATGATTCTCCATGGACTGCCCTGTTTAGTTGCTTGCCCGTGTCCTGTACGTAACACATTTGCAATAGTAGTAGGTAGGAGAAGGGTTACCTCAGCTGACAGAGTTTACATCTAACAAAGGTCTGCTTAATCTGCAGCACAGGAGACTTAGGTTAGCTATTAGGAGAAACTTTCTAACTCTCAGGGCAGTTACGCTCTGGAACAGGCTTCCAAGGGAGGCTGTGGCATCCCCGTCACTGGAGGGTTTTAAGAACGGGCTGAACAAACCCCTGGCAGGGCTGGTCTGGGTTTACTTGGTCTTGCCGCAGCGCTGGAAACGAGATGAGGTCTTGAGGTCTTCCTATGATCCGAAGATGTTGCTCAGTGTCTTCTCGGGAAGGGCCCTTATCCGTGTTGAACAGTACCTCCCTCGCACCACAACTAGTCCCACTCAACTTCGCTCCCCAGCTGGAGTCTGGATGGGAAGAATCCGGCCCTAAATGTCTATTTTGCTCTGCAGCAGGTGACCTTGGCGATAGGTGCTGTGATCACTAACCATGCTGCCCTGTTGCCATTCAGAGTCATGGAATGAGCCCGGCCTTTAACTGACAAAAGCCAAAGATCTCAAAGGTCAAGTCAACACCGTGTCGCCAACTCTTGTGATTTTAGCATGAGAGTCACAATGTTTGGTCTGTTTTTTCAAGCCCCCAGCTCCTGGAATCAGAGGATTGCATCTGAATCTCAACTTTCCTAGTCTTTAAAAAAGCTTCCAGCCCTTATGGTTGGGAAGAAAAGAGACTTAAAAATCAGAAGGCAAATAAATAGAAGCCCGAACGTTTTCTATTTTAAATCTCCTCCTCATTTTAAAGCTAATCTCATTCTGTGCAGGGCCTGACTCCCGAGTTTGGAAATCCGAGGGGGTGATACTGCCCATGTGAATTGGTCATGGGAGATGCTGACTGGTGGCAGCAGAGAGAGGTCCGGTATAATTCATTCTCCTATTAGTTATTCAGTTATTTTGTTGTGCCATTGCGGTTATGCCCAGAAACCCTGATCAGGATTGGGGCCCCATTGTGTTAGATACAAAGGGGCCGACTTTCCAATGTGCCGGGGGGAGGGGGGGGTGTTCAACCCCCACTCCGCTCCAGGCCCCGCCTCTTCCTGCCCCACCCCGGTCTACCCCCGCCTCTTCCTGCCCCGTTCCGCCACCTCCCCTGAGCGCATCTCGCCCCTGCTCCCCCCAGCGCCTCCTGCATGCCACGGATCAGCTGATCGCGGCAGGCGGGAGGTGCTGGGAGGAAGGGAGAGGCACTGATTGGGGGGGGCCGCCGGTGGGTGGGAGGCGCTGGGGGTAGGGGTGGAGCTGATTGGGGGGCTGCTGGTGGGTACTCAGCACCCACCATTTTTTCCAGCTGTGGAGAACCCACGGAGTCGGCGCCAATGGTTGGATACTCTACAGCCACAAGGGGAGACGTGTTTCTTGGCCACGTCTCTCAGTTGCATTGTGAGCCTCACAACGGTTGGTGTTTCTCTTCGATCCCCAACCTCTGGACTCACGTGAATAGGTGAGAATCTCAGCTTTCATTTAAAAAATAATGACCTTTCTGGCCGTCCTGGAAAACGTGCACCCGAAAGACTCAGAACCGGCGGGCAAAGAAA